ATATAAATTAAAAATGTAAAATTAATTTCATGCCCTAATAAAGGTACTGTAAATGCCCTTGAAAATCAAGACCAGCTGGCAATACTGCCCCTCAAGAAAAATTGTTAATTTCTGACAGTGTTTGTGGGTAATTTCTTTTTCCAGCTCCGATGATTGAACTTCATTGAATTTGTGTTACTGCTATGAATTATTACTAAAGACAAAAAGCATTTTAACACAGGTGCATTGTGGGGCGAATGAAACTGGAAGCAAAAGCATTATTGAAGGTGAATTTATTTACCATCTGTGTTTTGTCGTGCTCTCCATCCTTCACCATTGCCAGAGCAACCGAAGAAATCAGGGAAGAAAAACAAAAATAACAGATATAAATGTTTCAAGTGCTGAAAACACAGCTCAGTTCATGCTGACACAAAATGTGAAGCTGGTTAGCAGAAGCTATTCATTTCATTCGTTTGGTTGCAACTATGAATTTTAAAATATAAAAAGTCCTTGATAACACTTTAATTTAGGGGCCAATTCTCACTATTAACAAGTTGCTTATTAGCATGCATATCACTAGTATATTGGCTGTTAATTAGTACTTATAAAGAATACATTAATGCCTTATTTTGCATAACCATATTATAGATTCCTTAATCCAACCACACACCTGAAGTTAACAACTACCTTACTAACTAATAAACAGCAAATTAGGAATTTACTGAGGCAAACGTCATAGTTAATAGTTAGTTAATAGTAAGAACTGGTCCCCAAATCCTCTATACAAGACACATTCATATCTGTTATTTTTGCATAAAGAAGACATATTTTTTCCCTGAAATTCGAAGCTTCTTTACCACAAAAAACGTTTTAAAAGTCCTCGCTCTGACCTTTAAACAGTACCCCAACCAGGCACACAACTAGTCTCTCCACATTTAACGCTAAAATACTGTGCAATGCAGCAAATCAAATCTGATGTTTAACATCAGAAATATAAACCAAGTGATTTGTCAATCTTAGCCAACATTAACCAAAATTCTTGTCGGTTAAAAAGATTTACAAAAGACAAGACAACTTTTGATTAGGTGTCACTTTATTGTGTCACTTTTAACACTGTGCTACTGTACCTTTAAGACTTATATATGCAAATTACCTTTGTTATGATTGGCCATGATCTTTAACTTGTTATTTCATTCATAGAGGCAAGCCAAGATATTGAATACTGAATATGGGCGGATAAAAAACTGAGCTTAAATAGAGGTAATGCAAATTATTATGCAAATGACTTATTGATCATCAGTATATAACTAATGAAACTTAAATTAAAGAATACCTTATTCCTCAGGGTTCATTTCCAACAACAACAACAACAAAAAGTTCCTTCTGACATAGACATGGACATTTTAACTATTACCAATCTGTACCAACAGAAAGTTATATTTTCATTAAATCAGGATTGTTATTTAACATATTTTCTTGGCACACTAGAGCGCAGCAGTCCACGTTTAGCAGCCTTCAACGTCAGTTAAAAGACTGACTGAAGTTAAAAATCACTTTGAATCAAAATCAATCAGCTCCAAAATGAATCACAACATCATCAACTTTGAATTGAAGAAAAAAGACAAGACTGTTTACTTATATGAAGCAATTAACTATGCATCCCATAAAGCACTGCTTTGATTAAGACGATCAAATGAGAGTACAATATGACTTAGAACCACTGATTCATGAATAGAAACCATTGGCAAAATATTTAGAATTAAATACTTTTCTAATTTGTGGATTATGGTTAGTTCTTCACCGGGACTTTGGTTATCTTCCATGGTTTCCAATTAATGCAATTGCTCAGACTCTGAATTGTGTACATGGCTTCTACAGAAACAGCATCTCTTCAACCTCTGAGCACATATATTCTGTTCTGAAAGATATATATATATTATATATAATCAAATTACTGTGGCCAAAATGAATTGGGTTTTTACTTTTTGAATGCCTATGTTTTGCTCTAAAGAAGAACGGATGGCAGATGATGCCACAGGAGTGGATTTGTAGCAACATTATGCAGGTGGACTCGGTTTCAGTATTCGGATGGAGCATGTGTTAAAACAGGAGGGAATTCTGTGGAGGAGCCAAGCACATGAGCTTTACTGCTGCGTGCTCTTTTTCTAAACATATTCTGTGCTCCAAACACTAGGAAATATCTCATCTCAAAGTCACACATCTGCAGGACACCACACTTTGACAATGTGTTTTTCTCTGTGACTAATTAAGGCAAACCTGATCATCTGTCTGCTAAGGTTTCAGAAAACTGTGATTGATGGAGCTGATAACACAAAAACATATTCAAAGGATACCAAATAAAGTATCACCCTGTAAGTGCTAGTGTTTGTGATTCTATTAGGGGAAAATAAATGATATTCAAAATATCATTTAAACAAAGCTGTATTTCTTGGAAAAGAAACAAATCAGAAATATTTCAGACTCTGCACGATTTTCGAGGTCAGTTATTTATATACAGTTAGTAATTGTACTAAAGCAGAGATGCCCAAAACTCGGTCCTGGAGGGCCGGTGTCCTGCAGAGTTTAGCTCCAGCTTGCCTCAACACACCTGCTGGGAAGGTTCTAGTAAGCCTAGTAAGAGATTGATTAGCTGCTTCAGGTGTGTTTAATTGGGGTTGGAGCTAAACTCTGCAGGACACCGGCCCTCCAGGACCGAGTTTGGGCACCCCTATACTTAAGGTTCCTGCTTTGACTGAAGCACGAAATGCCTTTGGGAACATTCTCATGCAGAATATCATGGATCAGCATTGCTTCGACATGGCAGTTTATGCTGCCATTATAGCTAAAGGGGGGCAAAGGAATTGATTCAACTTTCATTCAAATTATTACAATAATATAATTTGTATTGAAAAAAAATAGAAACACACAAAACATGCTTTTACCGTTTTTCTCAATCGATTTGACACTTTTCTCCAATGTAATGCACTTGTTCTCAAAACAATTAACATAGCTATCTAAACACAAACTTATCTTAACCAAACCGTTCGACTTTACTGCAAAATGAAGCACTGCGATTTTTTCTAGAAATGCATTTATTAAAAGTAATAAATATTAACATCAAAACTGTTGGTGTGTTCTCTATTGATTATAAAACATACCCAGTGGTAGATGCAGAAATATGCTAATGAAAATACATGTTAATTGCATTTTTTGCTAAATAAAATTGTTCTTTTTCCAAACAAATTGTATGTATGCAAATTGTATAATATCCAAGGTACACATTTCTAGTAATTGTGCTGTTAATTCTCATATTGTATTTCCAGAAAGTTTTGGAATATTTGTCCTCTCCCCAAATTTGTCACTACCGAAACAGTAATAATAATTTAATTAGAAGGGTTATATTGACCTATTAACATTTTGCTTACATCTAGTTTGTAAATATAAATATATATATATATAGTTGCTATTTTACTACAATTTTTTTCAGAGGTAAATCCATGACAATTAATTTTTTAACAACTCTCCCCAAATTTGTCACTACCGATGTTGTATTTTGAATCAGATTTTTCTTTGTAAAAGGCAAAAAGTTAATCATACTGATTTCAAAGTTAAGGGTTTGTTAGTTTGAATGTACATTGAGCCAAAAAAATATCTTAGTTGATAATTCAGTTTACTTTATTTTTGACAAAACATCCCATGGTTCAGTAGTGACAGCACATTTTCGGTAGTGACAGTAATGCTTTGGCAGCAACCACATCACATTATAGAATTTTAACTCACATACTAAAATACTAAAACATACTAAAATACAAAATAATTGCATAACTGTACTAAAATTTTGTTTATTTCCCATCATACTGATTTCAAAGTTAAGGGTTTGTTAGTTTGAATGTACATTGAGCCAAAAAAATATCTTAGTTGATAATTCAGTTTACTTTATTTTTGACAAAACATCCCATGGTTCAGTAGTGACAGCACATTTTCGGTAGTGACAGTAATGCTTTGGCAGCAACCACATCACATTATAGAATTTTAACTCACATACTAAAATACTAAAACATACTAAAATACAAAATAATTGCATAACTGTACTAAAATTTTGTTTATTTCCCCCAAATATGAGGATTACGTGTTTCTTTTTGTCACTACCGAAACAATGATGACATGTTTCGGTAGTGACAATTCTATGGGATAACACCCAAAAAACAAAGATGTCACTACCGAAACTCCACCAAATGTTTCAGTAGTGACAATTTTAGATAATTTTGAACCTAACTCGATGCTAATCAGCACATGGTTAGCTAGCACAGTTCTGAACAGTGGTATAGTGTTGGGTAAGTTAGTCAAAAAAAGTATTTAAGCATTTAAGAAGTAATCAGATTACTAATTACTTTACTTTCAAGTTTACTTTACTTTTCAAGTGATCAAACCTAAAAATTACACTTCAAAGAGAAACTCATAATTCTTTCATTAATTTAATATTGACTTAAAAATTACATAAGTATCATTTGTATACACTCCCAATATCAACAACACTTTTTTAAAGGGTTTTGTAAAATAAAGGAAACAAATAGGGTGCGCGTTCTGCATTCTCAGTTTCCGTGAATATCTTTCTGAAACTAGTCACTAAAATGAATGAAAATGACATGAGAAATACAGTATATCTAAAGAAAGCTTGAAGTGTCTATTATTAAATGAAGTAAGTCGTGTCGAAAACAAATATTCTCTGATAAAATAATCCGTATGAAACCAACGCCAGGTACCATGCTTGAGATGCGCGGACATGTAAATGTCCACATCACCTTCGTAAACAAAGAAAGATTCAAGTTCATCTCGGCTTCTTTTCGTTTTTGGAAGAAGACACGCTGTGAGGAATAAGCCTTGAATTGTGATGCCAACGTGGCTTAATCCAGCGGATGATCTCATTCTAATGAGTCATTTATTTTTACTTATATTAGTGTTACTGTGACATAAACTTATACACATTCACTTGTTGAACTTTTCTCAAGCTATAATGCCAGAATAAAATATGTGAAATCGAGTGCAACATTTTGAAATATGATAGGCAATCTTTCATTGCATCTAAATGTTGTAGGACTCGTCTGCATTAGCTTGCAATCTCCGGTGATTTATTAAAGGGCATACTGATGCACAAAACATGATTTTTACTTCGTATTTTTTAAATACTGCATTTGTAATTTAAGTAACATAATTTTATTGACATTAGTAACTGTAATACAATTAGAATTACAATTAAAATGTAACGCATTACTTTACTGCATTACCAGGAAAAGTAATTAGAATACAGTAACGCAGTTACTGTGTAACGCACTATACCCAACTCAAAAAGGTGTGTTTAATTGCAGAAAAGAAAGGTGTTCGGTAGTGACGTTCCTTAAAGTTACACACAGATTTTTCAGACTTTTGAACACATTTACCTTGAAATGATGAGACCTATCTACTCGCACCTTGTAGCTACGAGAGAGGGGGACACAGGAGTATTTCCTGATCATAAATTTATGGGTTTAGTTCAAATCTAGGTAAAAAGTCTCGGCCAAAAGACTAAAACATACACTGTTTCGGTAGTGACATGAAAAATGCAGGACACATTTTTTTTTACATTAAGTTTCATAATTTACAAAGAAAATATGATTTTTTTTTTTTTTAAACGTAAGAGGGGGACACAGGAGTATTTCCTGATCATAAATTTATGGGTTTAGTTCAAATCTAGGTAAAAAGTCTCGGCCAAAAGACTAAAACATACACTGTTTCGGTAGTGACATGAAAAATGCAGGACACATTTTTTTTTACATTAAGTTTCATAATTTACAAAGAAAATATGAATTTTTTTTTTTTAAACGTAACTTTTTAAAAGAATCAAAAAGACACTTTTAAAAACAACAATGGAAAAAAATACAAAAATTATTTCAATATCATTTTCATAAGTCGAAATTTAGGGGTTAGGGTTCGGGACAGCCACCTCCCAACTGAAAGCCCCCAATAAATTATTTTATATATATTAAGTCTAATATTTTAAATATTATTTTGGGTTTCAATAGATAATAGAAGGATTTTAGTTTGCACCTATTTTGTAGAATAGGTGCCCCATATATTGTGTATATCTAACTCCTATAACTCATGTGAAAAACAAATTGCCCTTACTTAACTTAAAATCGGTTTGTGATCTGTTTGTGAATTTGTTTGACTTTTTTAGCTGGTGAAAATACTAGTGTTCAAAACAATCTTGATTGTCCATCTGAATGATCTCAAAATCAAGCATAGCATCAGTTCTGGCAGGCCACGTTAGTCAAGCTCACATCAGCTGACTCTCAGCTGATCCATGTCTACCCATAGGAATGCGACACCCATCACGGCATTCATATATATAAGGTCCTTCAGTATTATCACCAGATTTCGCGTTGCTCAATATCTAATTACCCACCTCCATCCCCAACTCCTCTCATCAGTCAGGATTCAGCCTTCTGATGCTCATTGAATCAGACTAATTTCTTAAACGTTACATTAAATGCTGAACCTTTATGATATCTGCAATACATTCATGTTGGTTCTGTTCTGTTTACCCTGGGGGGTTATTGCTGCTCTCCCTGCTCTTATCCATGCTAGGCTGAACGGAACCATACCGCCAATCCAAACTGTATGCTAATTGTCAGTCATCTTTGATGATAGTGGTCCTGACAGAACTTAAATTCTGAAAAATGTTTGGACATTTACAGTAAATAACAGAAGTTGTCTGAGGAGGACTAAAAATCTGTACTCTCAACAATCATAGTACAACACTTTATAAGTGTTTGATATTTTACATGGTCAATTTGGGTAATTCTGATTTCATTTGAAATTCATCTGCACCTTCTACCTCTCCTTTCACCCCCTTCCTCCCAGTTGTCTGTGCATGTCTTTTTACATTTTCTCCTCTTTTTATTAATATTATTTTTTTTTGCATATTCGTTCTTGCTCTTTGTATACTTTCCCTTTTATTATTACTCTAAAGCAAGTGTGATAAACGTGTAAACAATTAGGAAAACTGCATTTCCTGTGTTGTGTGTATACAATTAACCGAGTAGTTATCAGTTTAAGGCCAATCGAAAATATAAAAAAGTTCTGAAATTGAGTCATGCGCGGGAGCCGTGGTTGGGGAGTACGATCCATTTCATCTACTCTATTGCAAGTTTTAAGTGAATTCACTAACTAGTTTTCTCCGCAGCACTACTTGGGACCTGCCCCTGTTTTTCTGACTTTGTTTTAGGGTTAAGACCTCTGCGAGCACCTCCCCTGCTGAAGTAAGAAACCGCTCGCTGTTGACCGATTGTGGTGATGGTCTCACCTGTCGGTACTGGATCCAGGCTGGATGACAGCCCTCCTCTCACTCCTAGTCATCCTCTCAACCATCATGCACGCTCTCTGAGCGAGAGCTCCTCGCGCTGAGGCGTTGAGTGGCTTAACACTCCTTAACTTCACTCTGCAGTTCGATAGATGGTCAGGTCCACAGGACCTCCCTGTCACACTGCCCTTATGGTTGAACCAGTGAATCGCCCCTTCGCGGAGTGGTCTTGAGTACACTGCATTCCCTGAGGTACGAGTGAGATGTGTTTCTGTGGAAACACTTCCTGAGTGCTTCGGCTCTGAGGAGCAGTATGCATGAATGGGTTATTGGGGCCCATTGCCTCTACAGGTTCTCTTTTGGCCTGGTTAAACGGGACCCATGCTCTCTATCGAGATTATAAGACGAGAGAGTATAAGACTGCGCTCAGCTGCATTAGTTGACATTAGTTTATGCTAGACTGTCCCTTCTAATCTAGCGCTGCCTTCTAGTCGAGCTAGGAAGTGCTCCCCTCACTGTGAGAGTTAGCATGTTTGGACATTTACAGTAAATAACAGAAGTTGTCTGAGGAGGACTAAAAATCTGTACTCTCAACAATCATAGTACAACACTTTATAAGTGTTTGATATTTTACATGGTCAATTTGGGTAATTCTGATTTCATTTGAAATTCATCTGCACCTTCTACCTCTCCTTTCACCCCCTTCCTCCCAGTTGTCTGTGCATGTCTTTTTACATTTTCTCCTCTTTTTATTAATATTATTTTTTTTTGCATATTCGTTCTTGCTCTTTGTATACTTTCCCTTTTATTATTACTCTAAAGCAAGTGTGATAAACGTGTAAACAATTAGGAAAACTGCATTTCCTGTGTTGTGTGTATACAATTAACCGAGTAGTTATCAGTTTAAGGCCAATCGAAAATATATCATTTGATAGAATGACAAATTACAGAGTTTTGTTTGTTGTGTTTGGACAAATGATACATAAATGTTTGTGATTTGTGTAAAACCTTTTTTCAAATATTTTAAAGTATTGGTTGGTTGTATGAACTATTGTGAATACATTTGAGAGTTTTGTGCACATTGTTTTGAGAAAAGTATTTGCATGATTTGTAATTTGTATTAAATTAATGAAAACATACTATCTGTTTAGGACATTTACAAAGTGTTCAGCTCGCTGTGTTAACTGTTTTGAGAACAGTGACCTGAGTTTAGAGAAATGTGTCAAATCAATTGAGAAAAACTGTAAACACAAGCAGGAAATGTCTACTTATGACCACATATTGAGTGATTTACATTATGATCACAATAATAAATCCACCTATCTGGGATATCGGAATTTATAACAGCAATATATAAGTAAATATGATTAAATCAAGTCAATATAGCCATTTTACAATTATTGGCTGACTATCTGAATAATTAATTTGAAATTATACAGTGTACATTTTCTGTTATTAAATATTGCATGAAATAAAAGTTTTTTGTTTTTTTTCAATTAATTTCAGCAATTTTCTTCTAAACTTATTTGCTACCATAAAATTACTATTAATAGTTTTCCTTCCTGTTTGATGTATTTCCTGTTGAAACGGGAGGTTGAGGCATACATAGTACATATAATACATAGAACATAGTAAGGGCTCGTCTGTAAATTTGAAGAGACATTCCAAAAATAAATCACACTTTTAATGTGACCTAACAGACATTGACTAAAGTAAAACTCAGTTCTGGGTGGCTATATCCCAGCATTTTATCTGCCATCAAACGTTACTTAAAATGTATTCGACAAGACAACCTTGAAAGTAAATGCAATTCCTTTGTTATTCACTGCTTAATGAAATGAGATTCAAAGCATTTATCAGTCCAGTGTGTTCCACTGAGTCAGCCCTACTGTCAAAACAGGAGCATGAAGGAGTATGTGTGTCCTGCAGGCTCACCCTCCACAGCTCTTTTGAAGAAAACCTTGCAGCTACCACAGGTGAGCACCCCATAATGACATCCAGAGGCCTCATCGGAGCACACCAGGCAGATCTTATGGGTGTTTCCGCTGGGCTTGACTGATCCTGATGGACTGGAGCTGCTCACTTCAGGCCTGGCCAAGAGGTAGAACACAAAAACAAAGAGAGTTTTAAACATTTCAAATAAAATAAAACATTATAGATAACTTCTGTCCAATCATCCACATATATAGGCTACTTATAAAATCCTGATGTTTAGTTAGAAGCTGGTTCCCTTCCGAGGGAACATCGAACTGTGTCCTCTAGCGGTCGCTATGGGGAACGCCTTCAGCGTGACCAGTGTTTGAAGCATACATCTAAACATGACAATAACATTGGCCGGCGACTGCCTATGACATCATTACCGGCGTGTTAGGCCCATCCCTGTCACCTCCTTGGTCAGTTGCCTCTATGCTGGGATCCTGTTGTTCCCTGTTGGAATGTGTGATCCCCTCTTAGCTGGATCCCATTTCTGATGTCCCATTTGCGATCAATCTGCTCCCCAAACATAGTCATGCTCCCCTCACTGCGGGAGGGTCTTTTATGAGCTTGCCAGTCCTGGGCAGATTATGTGAGTCCTCCTCTCTACTTAAGAGCTAGGTACTTTGCCCCTGGGCTAATGATCACTTCGAGCTGGGTTCCCCTATCTTTGCTAAGGGTTGAGCCCTCCACTCTTTGAACTCCATTACATCGACATCAG